ACTTAATTAAAGTACTTCACATTTTATTAAAGTAGTTTGCACTAAATTAGTTTGAAGTATTAATTAAAATAGTTTTAATTAGTTGCATTACTTTTGTATTCATTATTATATTTGTTGCAAATTAATATTGTTACATTTTTAAGATGGAAGGTGGTAGATATTCGATTGATTTGGGTAACCTCGAGCGCAACAGAAGGAACGAGATTGGGAGGAAGAAATCCCGCAAAGGTAAAGAACTTGCCGGCTCTTCATCTCAAATCCGAGATGATTTTGAAACGGGTTACCAAAGGAGGGATGGAGATGCGATGTCCGAAGAACAACTACTACAAGAATTGGCCCGACATAATAACCGCTTTCTCCAACAACAACAAATCCCGACGACCATTGACGAAGATGAGCTTGAGAATGAAGATGCGGAGGAAATGGAACCGGAGACGACTGAGGAGGAAGGTGGCGGCAGCCATGACGCCGACGAGCCTGCCTCATCCCAAACCGCCACTGGTAATAAAAAAAAAGTAAATCTGAACTAATGAAAAATAATTTTGATAAGTGGAAGGACGCACAAACCGGGTATTGGCACGCAACTTGCAAGTGGTGCAACAAAAATTATAGCTTGGGGACCTCCGGCGGATACGGATCCACCGCAAGGCATCTTAAGGCGAAGCACCCCGTGGAGTATGCAAAATTAGGCGGCGGAACGGGGAAGCAAACTCAAATATCGAGGTTTGCGAATTCTCAACCTTTTGGTAATTTCTCATACAATGATGCACAAAATTTGACTGGTATGGCTAACTTAATTGTTGAAGAAAATTTGCCTTATATGTTTTCTGAAAGTCTTGCTTTAAGTTATTATGCATGCGGTAGTTTAAATCCTCAATTTAGAGGTTATAGTCGCAAAACTGTTAAGAAAGAAATTATAAAGCTTTATAAAGCGGAAAAGGCAAGGTTACAAATTTTTTTGCAAACTTTGATGGGCGTGTTACTATTTATTCTGACATATGGGAGGATGATTTTCATCATTTAAATTATTTGGGTCTGACTGCACATTATATTGATGAGGATTGGAATATGCATAAACGTGTTCTTGCTTTTCGTGAATTCAATGATCGTCACACCGCTGAACATATTTATATTTTGATTGAGCGTATTTTAATTGAGTATAATTTGATTGATAAGGTGTTTGCTATTGGTTTCGATAATGCTACTAATAATACTGTTGCTATACCTAGATTGCGTGAATTGTGTGGTGTCAATACTTTGATGGGTAGATTTTTTCATCAACGCTGTGCATGCCATGTTATAAATTTATGTGTGCAAGACGGTCTAAAAGCGTTAGGAGATGCTATGAAGGTAGTCGGGGGGGGGGGGGGGGGGGGGGTAGACGTATTTGGGGTAATGGTCAACTTAGATTAAAATGGCAAACTTATTTGACTGAAAGAGGTGTGAGATATGTTGCTTTTCCTAAAGATTTGAGTATTCGTTGGAATAGTACTTATAAATTACTTAAAGTTGTTCTTAGATATAAAGAACAATTTCCTGCTTTTTTAAAAGAACATGATAACTATATTATAAACTCGGCTGAGATCGACACTTGCGAAAAAAATTGTAATGTTTTGATATATATTTTTAATGCAACTGAAACTTTTAGTCATGTTTATAAACCTACCGCAAACCAATTTATTCGTGAAGCTGTTAATCTCGCCGGTGCTTTTAGAGAATTTGAGAATGCCGTTTACGTGAGTTATTTTTGTGATTTTATGAAGGAATTTTTTTTAAAATATTATGCACATATTCCGCATATTTATGGTATTGCATTTATTCTCGATCCTCGTTTTAGACTAGCTAATTTGGAAGAATGTTTCAACTTCTATTATCTTGCTTTTTTTGGTGAATTTCCAATGTATGACGATAACCCCATAGATCCGAAAACGGAATACAATGAGGTTAGTGCTTTATTTTATGCCTTATTTAATGAGTTTTGTGCACATTATGGAAACGCCCCCCCTCACCCGTCACGAACATCTTCATCTAAAGGAAAATCGATTTTTAAATCTGCATTTGGCAATCTTATGAAAAAAAAAACTAAAACAACTCATGTTACTGAACAAAGCGCAATGAATGAGATTACTTTGTATTTAACATATGAAGTTGAATTTGAAGAAAATGATGACTTTGACGTTCTAAATTGGTGGAAGTCAAAAGAAAGAATGTTCCCGATTTTAGCACAGATGGCTAAGCAAGTGGTGCTATCAATGCCGGTTTCAACAGTTGTTGTGGAACAAGAATTTAGTTCGGCCGGCGACGTCCTAATGACATCTAAAACGAGATTGAGCGCGGAGTCTCTTGAGACGCTTACATGCTACCACGATTGGTTGAAGGCCGCTCGTAGAACTCAAGAAATGAGCATCACCCCCTCTCAAGACTTTATGGATGACTCAACAACCGATGGTGGCTCTACCTATGCCGGAGATTCCGATTGATTAGTATTTTAGAATATATTATAAAATGTATTTTGTAGCACTTGTCAAATTAATTTGTACTTGTACTTCATATTTCAAAATTGTAAACTTGTACTTAATATTTCAAAATTGTAAATTTGTACTTGTACTTCAAATTAATTTGTAAACTAGTACTTCATATTTCAAATAAATATGCGTTCAGTTTTTCATATGTAGCACTTCACAAATTAATTAATTGGTTACAAACTTACAAGTTAAAATTATTTTTCTAAAGGCTGTTTTTAAATGAAAAATAGCTTTACAATATGTAATTTGTTTAAATACTTATACACCTATTTTGTAACATTTGTAAATTATAAATCAAACCACTTTTCTAAGTAAAAATAGCTTTACTTAATTCATTAAATTAATTAACTAATTTTACAATATGTATAATTTTCAAATAAAAAATATTTAAAAAAAAATTTAAAAAATAGCTCCCAAATGGCTATATAGTCGTTGGGGCTTTGGGTGGGGGCAGGGGGTCCCGGGGGGTGGTGGTGTGGGGAGTGGGGTTCAAAAAATTCTATAAATACATCTATTTTCTAACATTTTTCTACACCTCTTCTCCAACTCTTCTCCATCTTCATCTTCTCTTATTATCCTACATTCCTACTTATACATCTACCATTTTAAAGATGGAAAGTAAATCTTCCCTTACGCAAAACAATTTTGATAAGTGGAAGGACCCGAAGACCAGACTGTGGTGGGCAACTTGCAAGTGGTGCAAGAAAGAGTGTAGCTTGGAGTGTTCACACGGATACGGGATGCCAATAAAACATATGAAGTCCTGTGACAAAGGCAAAACAACAACCAACAGTGGCGAAAATTCCAATTGATATTTATTAGAAAATGTATTTCATATTGTTATTTTTTTCTCAATTCTCAAATGTAGTTCCTATTTCAAATAAATGCACTTGAATTCTGTTTTTAATAAGAATTTGTATAAACTATAATTTAAAAAAAAAATGACCCAGCCCGGCCTGGCGGGTAGCCCGACCCATGACCCGGGCGGGTGACCCGGCCCGAACCAGCACCGGCCATAGGACGGGCCGGTCCCGGGCCTACCTCTAATAAACCCGAGTCCCGACCGGGCCTTGGCCCGGCCCGGGTCCATCACTATGATGGTAAATGAAAGTCAAGGCTAAATGTTATCACATAATGTTTGATTTATACTTTTAGAGATAAGTTTCATCAATGACCAACTATGCATTGCAATACCAATAATAATGAATAAAGACATCTTAAGAGTCATACTAAGCAAATTTCTTCACCAATACAATGAATATTGTTTATAAGGAAGTTTTGGAATGTTATCACATAATGTTTGATTTATACTTTCAGAGATAGGTTTCATCAATGACCAACTATGCATTGCAATACCAATAATAATGAATAAAGACATCTTAAGAGTCATACTAAGCAAATTTCTTCACCAATACTAGGGGTGGACTCGGGCCGGTTCGGGCCCGGTTCGGGCCTGGGCCCGGCCGGGCCTCAGGCCAAGAAAGTTGGGCCCGAGCCCGAACCGCCGGTGGGCGGTTCCGGTCCCGGTTCCGGGCCAAACCGGGCCAGGCCGGGCCGGGCCTAACCGGTTCTAATTTTTTTTTTGGCTCTTCTATTTAACCCCCAACCCCTCCCCCTCAACCCCAAACCACCCCAAACCACCTCAAATGGCCCAAAATACCTAATCCAACTCAAAACTTAAAAAAAATTCAAAAAAAAATTAAAAAATTAAAAACCGGCCCGAACCGGCCGGGCCGGTTCACCAAAAACTGGGCCCGAGCCCGGACCGCCCAGCAGCCGGGCCGGGCCGAACCGAACCAGTGGACCCACCGGGCCCCGGGCGGGGCCGGGCCAAACAGTAACCGGGCCGGGCCTGTTCCGGGCCGCCCGGCCCGAGTCCACCCCTAACCAATACAATGAATATTGTTTATAAGGAGGTTTCTCAAAACTTAACAATGTGACGTTTAGTGTGTGCAATGTTACATTACAATGTCACTTTTAATATATTATCTTTCACTAAATTACTATCCACAATTAGCGAACTTTGTTTGAAATAAAAATGACGAATTATATATCACAACATTCACCACTAAAACATTAGTAGGTTTAAAAATCTGAACAAAACCCCACTAAAGGGACAAGGTGAAGTAAGAAGTTGGCTGAAAAGGAAAATACAAGATCACTTAGAGCCCGTTTGGTAGCACCAAAATCGGCTGTTTTGGCTGATTCTGCTGAAATTTATGATATTCTGGCTGGAGTGGCTGTTTTGGCTGATTCTGATGATTTAAGAAAAAAATATTTTAAAAATATATTTTATTAATAAATTAAAGAAAAAATTATATGTAAAAATAGCTAAAATGGTCCTCTACAGTAACTTCAGCCAATACAGCCAGAAAAGTAACTCCAACCTTACTTTTTCGGCTTATTACACAATTCAGCGCGCGAAAGTAAAAGTTACGTGTTTGGTGAAAAAGCTGGCTGATAAGCCTGATAAGCCGAAAACAGAGTTCTCCAAACGGGCTCTTAAAAAACCGAAATTTGATCGAACAATGCACCAATTTCATACTTCCATATACAAAACTACATACATACATATATATAGGGAGGACGGGAGATATCTCTCAATTCTGCCATTAATGCATCAATCAACCAAGTGAGAAAATTCACACCAACAATGTGTATCTTTTAAAATAAATAATTAGAAATATACAACATTTATGCACCCAATTGCTGTCGCAGAGCTAATCACTTGAATGCGCACCATATTATTGTTCACTTCCAAAAAGCTCCCCATCAGCCTGCCAAAAATACCACATTATAGTATATTTTGAGAACAGGTTTGAGTCTTGAGATAGAAGAGATGGATGCTGAATGAACCCACTGAGCTGGGACAACACCTTGTTTTAAGAGAAATGGCTAAGATGCAAGAAAAAAACATATCTGGGATATGCAGATATACCTTTGGATGTGGCGCCCCTGTTGTGGTTTTTGTGTGTTTTGTCATGTGAAACAGAAGGGAGCTTAGGGATAACCAGTGAGCTCTCCAAGCCTTCCAATAACTGCAATTCACTGATGTTATTGGACCCACTGATGCCAAGTTGAACATCACATACAATTATTCAAAGCCTTCTGGTAACACTACGTTATTTGAAGATAATCTATACATGCACGTTCCATGTTTTGCTGAAGACTAAATAACAAGAAAATTAATCCTGACTTCAAATAGCAAGACTCCACATTCCAGAAGCACCAGATACTATCTGTGTCTGAACACCCAAAATACACACACACACATACACACACAAACACACAGAAGCTAATATTACATGTGTCCCACAAAATGTCTTGTTTCACTAATGAACAAGTTTATAATTTTGTTTAGGTGCATTTTTTTATAAAACATACTTGTATCTTTTATATTCACTAATATCATGTAGCTTGTTCGGGGGTTCAATTTTGGCAATTTTTTGGCAAATTACAAGAAAAATTAGCTTGCTTTTTTTCTAACTGGTGCTTTTTTATTAACGAAGTGTTTGAGGTAGGACTCTTATTACAGAGGGGGTAATTAATCCAGCAAGCAGAGACGCACAAGATAGTTTGAACGCATATGAAAGAACCTAAGGGAAAACCCTATGATAACTGTATATATTACGGAGTACATGCAAGTGAGAGGACTAACTTATTATGATAACGATTTAAGAATTCCATCACATTATTCTTTGTTGGGAGTTTGGACCTTGCACAATAGCTTGCAAATACTTTTTTAAAATAAATTTGAAGTGCTTTCACGACAACAACCACATCCAAGCTTTAGTCCCAAAATAGTTTGGAGTTGAAGTGGTTTGACTTGTATAAAAAAAACTATTGAAGCTATAACAGCATAAAACACCCCCAGGCCCTAATTCCGAGCAAGATATACTGGGTGTGTTTGGTCTATATAAGCATACTCACCCTGGATGTTGGCTGAATCCTGCGATTTGACCTGCGCGGTTCATTGGTTTCAGAAGTTGACTTATCATTCACCTCCTCTTGTTTTGTTAACATTCCACTACCAGTGGCAAAGTTTCCCCTATTCATCTGTTCAGGTCTGTTCTTCAATTTTGGAGCCTTTTTAACAGCAGGAGGAAGAGCCTTTGATTCAGCCACTTCTTCAGCATTGGGACCAAACTTCACTGAATCTGAGTAACCTGATTCGCTCTTGTCATGACTGACATCAGCAGAACTAGTCGGAGTTGACCGAAAATAGTTATCTTTCGATATTTTACTTGAAGTGAGTGGTTTTCGAGGTTTAAGGGGAGGTTTGGGTTTTGATTCGGCAAGGAACTTCTTCTCCTTTGCATCATCAGTTTTGGTACTATTTCTCCATCCCCCACCAACTCCTGATCTAGTTGGAATCACAATTTTTGCTGAATCATTTGTTGAACTAGCGGTGGTGCTCTTAACACCCCCCCTGTTTGAATCATAATGTTTACTTACATCCATGAATTTCCTCTTTTTTCCAGGTTTAGGCACACCGAAAATTACTTTTGGCCCTTCTTTTTTTTGCAGTAAGCCAGACCTCATTGTCCTATGTGTGGCAGGCTTTGGCTGATTATTCTCATTCCTGTGGGCACCAATATTAAATGATTTTTCAGCAGCAGATAAATGGATTGATTTGGTTTCTTCTTTTGTTGTCTCCAATTCTGGCACATCAACACTTTTTGTGACCTTCACCTTTTCCCAATCTACCTCCTCATTCGTCGCATTTCGCAACTTTGCCCTCTTCCCCTTCCGAGTGTTACTCTGAAAAGCATATCATCAACCACGTATTAAATAAAACTGAAAAAGGCCAACTTTGTTGGTAAAATGTGTCACAGTTCTCATGTGAGTGTTTTACCTTGGGAGAAGTCTGTTCTCTTGAAGTGAACCACTCAATCCACAAGCCATCCTTCCAAATAAGCCTAGGACGAAGATGCTGCGCTCTAACAACTGCATTATCTCCGCGGGCTGCAAATAGGCCCTCTTTTTCATCAGCGCCATACGTGGCTTATTAATATATAAAAAAATGGAATATGTGATACTATACCTGGAAAATTGACAGTGAACATAGTTTCATCCTTTTTGTTCTTTTCAACAATGATTCCTTCTCGCCAGCTTGGAATATAGGTACATATGGTATAAAGTATTTTAGACAAATTTGACAAAAACAGCATCAATTGTAGTTATTCTATACTTAATGTCAAAATAGCAACAGAAAACCATAATCCAAGTAGTTAAATCGTTACTCGGGAGTAGACTTTAAAGATATATGCTACAAGTTTCTAATAATAATAGTCTTATAAGACTTGCATACATATAAAAATAATAAATCCACAATAACTAGCATAATTCATAAAGCATTGGAAGAAGAGTCATCCGTCAAACGAATCCTAACTTCTTATATCCTAAATGTCACCATTTGGTTCGAGATTAGCATTATTTTTATCTTCCACCATGACCACAATCACATCTTGAGTGAGCATTTGTAGTTTAGGAACCATAGACCCTTGAAAAAGAGTCTCATTGAATTAAAGTTCCTAAGCTTCTTTTAATCTCAGAATGACCCTTTTTTCAATTTATTAAACTTAACTATGACTGAGTTACTCGCCCAGGCACTAATATTGCCCAATTCTCAGAGTAACCCACTTTTTTGAAACGGACTGAATAAGAAGACAAATGGCAAGGTCTAGGACCAAGTTGTGAGTACTTGGAGAGTCCTCACAGATTAAATTACATAATCATAGTGATACTCCATAAATCCAAACCACCAGAAGCAATTCCAATAAATCGCTTCAGAAAATTAGTCCTTCATGGGGAAGTTTAATGATTAGTATCACTTGTTTTGGTGACTTCAATGATAGTCTCTCTCAATTGTTTCATAAGCACATAAATATTTTGAGTAGTACTTGATAGTTTTATTTTATATTTTTATGTTGTGGCAATCATTCACAAAATAAATAGCATCCATTAATTGCAATGAAGAAAGTTTATAAGGGCTACCCATCAATTGCAACCACACATTAGAGGACATCGGCCACAATACCACATCATCCCATTAGGTCAATATGAAGGGTAGTTGAAGAGCTATGCCAAAACAAACCAAGACATAATCTATAGATAAAAGAAGTGAAAAGCCAGATTCATACTATGTCTTGAAGAAAATGGCTTTAATAGAGAGGAGACATACACCTCCTGAGCTCCACTAGAAATCATTTTAATATTGATTTAGTTAAATTAGTATAAAGTACTCCCTTCTCCCAATAATAATGTAAGAAGCATTCATATTGGACACACACTTTAACAAAAACATAGGAATGCGTTGTTATTTTACAATCTTAACCTTTCCATATAAGATAAAAAATGCCCCTGAACAATAAAAAGGTGATGGTAGGCATGGGATGAAACAGGAAGGTGAAAACCTAGTAAAGTTCACATTAGGAATGTGAATCTTGGAGCATGCTACACAATGAGTATATCTAGCAAAATGGGATAGCTTGAGAAATAAACAACAATAGTTAAAGCATGAGCCAGTTCTAATAAACAATAATATCATCATGTCCCCATCAAAATAGCCAATGCCTATGTTAGGGAAACATGATGAAAAAGAACTGAATACATTGAATGTGACGGAAGCATAGATGGATATAGTTACCAAACATGGATCCATGCATCAACTTGATCCCCAACAGACCAAGAATAATCCTTGACTTCTGCTAGTTTCCTTTTTCGGGCACCTTCGAAGTGCACAACGGTCATAGGTTTTGCAACACGTATCCTAGGCACCTCATCACCGTCTATGTATAGAGGGATCCACTCCTTTAGATGTCCTGGACCAGAAAATTACCCAAATCGCAGCGTGCAAGTATAAAGTAACCATATTAGGATGATAAAAAAATCATGCTTATAATATTTTACCCAAATACTTGCAAAAGCAAACCTCCCACTAATGCGCTCTTTGGAAAAGGAGTAAATTGAATAGTGTAAGAATAAATTAAGAGAAGGGGGGGCCTGGTCACCAATTAAGGCAATGTTGTGTGACCGTGAGGTCGGGTTCAAGTCTTGGGAGCGGCCTCTTCTCAAAAAAATTAACGCGGGAAGGCTTGCCCCTATACACCCTTGTGGTGGGACCCTCCCTTCCCTGGAACCTCTGCTTGTTGGGATGCCTTCATGCACCGGGTTTCCCTTTTAGGGATAAATAAAGAAATAATTATTGAATGTGCATGTAATTCATAAATGGACCCATAAAAAAGAACAAGGAAAATGGTCAGCCAAGATAGATAAATAGGAAGAGGGAATATTTTGTATAGGCAATACACCTTACCTTTCTCTGATTGGAGTTCTGTGTAAGAGACAAAAGCATTCCCATCCTTTAAGTTTAAAACATTTGCCAAGAACCATGCATCATTCAAGTCACCACTATCCCTAAAAACCTACAGTTGGAGAAAGAACAGAGTACGGAATAGACAAATACCATCAACTAGATGTTGCTCTAAAGTAACACAAGAATATTGACATGTGGAATGATCGGATTTAATCATCACACCTCAACAAGACAGCCTTCCTTTATGTTTTCTCCACTTGTTGAACTTTCAACTTTTCCATAGGCCTCCTGAAGAGAAGTTAACCTAGAGTCCACTTCTGGCTTGGTGGAAGAAGAGTCGGGTGACTTGGTAGGTTCTGGAGCGGGACTCTTGCTCCCACATATTTCATTTTCAGCACATACAATCGTTGTTGATATTTCTTCTTCTACTCTAACACCTCCTTCCAATTGTAGAGGCAATCGATCCATTGTTAGGGCCTTTAAAGCTTTTCTAGATGGCCACTCAGATTTCTCCACACAAACATCCGAATCCATTTCGGTGGCATTGAGACCAGTTTTCCCTAAAGTAGCGCCATTTGATTTCACACACTGCTCTCCTAGTGTTTTGGAAACTTTCCAGTAGCCATCAGGACCTGCTTCGATTAATTCACTTAATGTGGAAGGATCCCCCATTGCAACCACCTTGCCAGCATGTGATACAGCCTCAGCAGCCAATTCAGCAGCCTTAACTATGGCATCTAAATTTTCAGCGTGTATCGAGTTAGCAGAAGCAAGGTCAATTCTTCTCTTGGCTGCCTCCCTGGCAGCAATAATAACAGAACCAGAAACGTTGGGCCCACCCCAACCACCCTTTAGAATGGAAGCAGGAGTTGCACCTTCTATGTTTCTTACAAAGTCAGGTAGAGAATCAGTTCTGCTCTCATTTGATGCCAATACCTCGTCAGCCATCTGCCTTGCCTGTGAAGCGACATTTGATGCGATCTTAGCAGCTGCGGCTGCGGCTTTAGCAACAGAAGCGGCCGCTGCTATAGTGGCGGCAACAGAAGCTAGCTTGGTTTCAACGTCCGACATCAATCCAGAGTTCTTTTGTTTTTCCAACTCACTCCATATATCTTGGCAGTGACCAAGTGCAACAGCTGCATGTTCAGCAGCCTCGACTGACTGTAACCTTGCATCATCAACTCTGTTAAAATCCAGTAAAGTTAGTTTCCTTTTCTCCACATCAGTATCTTCAATTTTAGAGTGGTTGGCAGATATGGAAGGAGAAACAGCAATCGGCATAGAAGAAAGATTGCTAGCAATAGGAGTGCAGAATGCTGTTACTGTCTCGCTTTCAGGTATCAATGAGGCCTGCCCAATATCTTCAGATGAATGAGTTAGTTTTGGCCAACGGCAACTAACTCTCGCGGCAGGCCCTGGCAAAATTGATAGTGGGATCTGTCCAGGAGCCTCAGTACGGGACGCCTTTTTCCTCTTTTTAGATTTTAGTTCAGTAGAATGTTGAGCAGAAGTCTGTGGAAGAACCCCAGAAGGTGGCATACAAGGGGGAGACACAGAGATTGGTGATGCATATTTTGTCCCGCTACAAACACCAGACGATTCTTTTGTAGGGATCGTCAAATTCACAGGGTCTGCGATGGGGAAAACAGGAATACGAGTAGTGCTAATGTCAAAACCAGAAGTTTGTGGGGAAGAAGCAACCCATGGTGCAGTTAAAGAAGTCTGTGATAGCGAAGAATTAGTGTGCCCTAGGAAATTCCTCATGGGTGGAGTCTGGAAAGAAGGTAAAGGGGAAACCGCCTGATACCCCATAATTGTTCCTTTTGCCATACCAGTGGGTGGCAGACCAGTACAGGAGGGAGTTGCTATGCTCCAAATAGGTGTTGAAAGAGGTATCATTGGAGAAATTATAGGTGGAATAGAAGTACCCCTGCTACTGCTTGGTCGGGGAGCATTTGAGGAAAGAGCTTTGCTTTTATGCAACTCATATTTGCTTGTTTGATCAGGTGTCTTTAGACCTACATTTCTCAACATTAGAATATAATAAAGGCAAAAGAGCTACAAGAACATGGCTTTTTGGGCTTAGAATACCTGAACCAGGCTCATGTGCCACTTCAGAGCTGGAGAAGAGGGATTTCTGTGCATGCAGCTTTTCTACACAAGCACGCCATGCAGGCTCCCAAACATTCCTCCCTCCTGATATAATACATAGCATGGTGACCACATTTCACATTTATATAAAGAAACAGAGGATACTACAAATAGACTAACCAGAGGTGGTCCCAAAGGCAGAAACCATGATGGCCTCATCAGGTGCTGCACCTTGACTGCAATAACCACCATCCAAGTAGTCAACTAATGAAGTTATTAAAATGAATATATCACTTTCTTATGAAAATGAAGAAATCAAGGTATTAAGTAACTACGGATAATAATTTTTCAAGATGTGAAGAGCAGTTGTAGTAAAATAACTGTGCAGGAAAAAATGTTTAGAGCACAAAAGGTTTACGACAGACATATAAAGAAAATGAAAAGTAAGCCCTACTTGCATCAACAACTTTGGCATATAAATACCACATACTACATATAATGACTTACATTAATGATCCATAAACAAAGATTTGTGCCCGTAATTGCACTTGTTGTAGATCAGTAAAAGGCTGTTGAAATGGCACAGGTGTAGTGGAAGAGTTCAGATCTGGAAGAATGGACGTTGATATAGAGTCAACATTACTGATCTTTGTGCCACTGCGCTGAACACTTCCAGCTTCAACTTGCACCGATTGTCCAGAAACAGAAGAGCCCAAGTGCACACGTGATTTGTCCACCCTCTCGGAGAGTATGACAGGGGTTTCCTTCACTTGATTTCCCTTTTTACTAATTTCTCTTCCTGGCTTACATGAACGGCGCCTTATTTTATGCTCAGAGCCGCCTTTTGCACCAGAAGATGGTGTTGTCTTGTCAATAGGTTGTAATACTTCCTGTACAACCTTCGTATCAGTTTGGTCGCTAAAGGGCATTACGAGGGATCCCTCTTCTACTTAATAAAAAGGTAGATGCATGAATCTAGGAGAAAAAGCATTACTTCCCCCTCAAATGAATGAAACATGTATACTGATGGTTGACTCAAATTATTTACAAATTAAATTTTCTAGGAAATAAAATTTGCACATTAGTCTACAAAGACTCAAGCACACACACAATTGATAAATAACATAAGTGGAAAAAGTGAAAGATTGGCTGAAACAACTTTTGGAAGCATAGTACAGAAATAGCTTTGAATGATATACTCTTAAGATTATTGTATCAATAAATGCACACCATCATGACTTCTGGGATTTTGCTACTGCCATATAGTTGTGAGTCCTTGCCCATCTCTTTCTTCAATGAGTATGCACTAGATTTGACGCACATTGACTCTACTTTACCACGAAAATCATCTATATCCAGAGGACATGACACACTCTCAGCAGCGCCTTTATTGTCAACCTCTCGCTTCTCCCTCTCGGTATTCTGAATCAGAGTGCTTGTTGTGACAACGGAACTCACGTTAGGTGCATGTTGTTCCTTGGAAACTTCACTCTCTGCACAATGCAGCTTAAACAATTGAAAAGAAAGCAACAAATCATACAGGAGACTTTTGGTACGAAGAGAACCACCCTTAAATGAAATCAAATTTTATCCAAGTCTTACAACAATCCTTGGCCAAATAAATCATGTTTAATATTTCATGTTTTGAAGAAATGATGCTGTTTATTTAATAGTGCGCCACTTAGGAGCATTAATTTCAATTTTGATGAAACTATAGACTGGATTGGCAAGCAATCATTCAAGGAAGAAATAGTAGTCAAAACTTTTTCATTCAACACATAGGCTAGAAAGTAGAAAATAGTGAATCCATATTCTTCATGAAAGCTATCTAGTATTAGTAATGACCTATAAAAATATAAGTTAAGAATCATATCCCACAACAAATAAAAAGTCAAATAAATAATTAGTGAACTACTAATATAGCAAGTGCCAAATGGTGCACAGTGTACACACATGCACACACTCATGTCACTCACCTCCAGTGTATGCATGGTTTGAAAATGCAATAGCACCTTGAGGCGCGCCTTACGCATTTTCAGGGACTTTACAATGCAAGGTGTGACTAGTTTCACGCAATACAGACACTGACGCCTTTTATGTGCAAGGCGCACGCCATAAGGCATACGATTTAGGGCACCGCAAGGCTTACGCAATTGGAGTTTTAGTAAATATTACGTTAGTGTCCCAGTTTACTAATAACTGGGCCCAGTTTTAATTTAAACCCAGTTATTATTTCAAGTAATACACCCTACTGGGTATACCTCTCTTCATCGGCTGTGTCATCTCTTCATTGCCAGTCAGCCTCTCCTACTCCTGTTCGCACTTCGCACCAAGTCGTCTGCAACTCTGCAACTTTTTTTTCCGTCACTTCTCCTCTTATTTCTCCCCTTCTCCGCCACTCTTATTTTCCCTCTTCTCTGCCTCTCTTATTTTCCCCTTCTCCGCCTCTCTTAGTTCATGGTATGCTCATTTTTTAATCTTTCCCATAATATTATATTTGGTATTATTAATTTATTGTTGAGTAGGCCTCGTATGGTACTGTTAGTATGTTATACAATTATGTGTGTGAAAAAGATATATTATTGGTTGGGTAATAATTAGATGCAGACGTGCAGTATTATTTTTCCCTATGTTAATATGTGTACAATATGAGTTATGACATCAATCCAATAGACATAGAATTTCAGAATAGAAATTTCTATCATCTTATAATTGAAGTCACGATTTCATCACCTCATTACATTATTGTTGGGTTGTTTATGAAATTTGTTGTTTTAGATGAATATTTATTTCTTATTACTTCTAACTATATAGACACACACATATATATATATGTATATGTATATATATAAGAGTAACGCCTCATTGCGCAATGATGCGTACACAATACGCAATCATTAAAAAACGCCTCAAATACGCAATATGCAATTTCGAAAAGGTTGAATGCGTGTATTAAATTACGAAGGCTTATTAATCCACAAAAAAAAGTACTTATTTACTCTTTCATCTACTAGGGGATTTGATTTGGAAAAGAAACTGTTCCATACTAATGCATTCGGGTCCATAACCATGGGGCCCAATATAGGAGATATTCTAGCATTTACCACTTTTCTCCACGCTCTCGGTTTCCACATGCTTTCCTGCCGTTCCATTTGCATCATGACCTTCCAATTCTGCTGCTAAGTGATGCCGATGAACAATTTCTTCAACCATGGAGGAATGATGACGAACTTCACCAGAAACACGAGCTTGGTCAGTCTTGGTCTCTGTACCAGCAGCCTCTATCACAGGAATGGAATGATCAGCTGTCATTGGTGTGCCTGGATAAACTGATTCATGCTGGTGACCTATATCTCCATCCATAGAATGGACTAGATGAATTTCACCAGAAACACTGGCTGGGTCAGCTTTGGTCTCAGAATCAGCAGCTACGTTGAAAATGAAATGATCAATACCTTTCAACAGTGTTGGCACATACACGCCTTTCTCAACACCACAAACAGGACCTGGCTGGATTTCCATCTGAAAGGATGAACCTGATGCTGATAAGTTTGCTTTTTCAGCAGGGCAGATGGTATCCATTTCGTCCTTAACTGGCAATGGCAGCTTCTCAGATTGATTGACCACTGCAGCTGGAACATCACTTATTTCAGTGAATGAGACATTGTCCCCTATGTCATGTGAGGAGTGGGTAGCATCTTCCTCCTCAGTGCATAACGCTGCAAAAACAAAAAGTCTATTATCTTGCTAGTAAAAGACAAATGAATCAGGTTATCTAGGTCTCATCTTCATAACTATAAAGAATACCTTTATTTACTTTTTTTTTGGCAAACTCTGTCCCATGAACATTCTCAACATGTGCTAAACACTCTACACCCAAAGAAGATACAGTCTCAATTAGGTGACCAATTGATTTATTATTTTCCATGTCACTAGAAACAGTAGTTGACACAGTTTCCTCTTTCTCATTAAAAGAAACGTCTAGATCTCTGTTGACGGCATTAATTGGCTGCTTTGAGGAAGAGTCTTCTCTGCATATCTTCTCAGGATCATCATATGTGGCATGGGAAGAGACATGATCTCTATCACAGTAATCCACTTCAAATGAGTGATATGACCTTAAGGCATCTTCCCCGCCTTCAAATTTCTCACCTACATGTGTCACCTCTTGAATTTCAGCAGGAAGACACACATCTCTTGGGCTAACATGATCATCTGCATGGAAAAGATTGCTTCCAGTTACAAGTTCAGAACTCAAGCTACTATTATCAATAGTATTATGTTCTTGTTCATTGACATTGTTTTGTTCATGTGTTATTTTTGATGACGACACTTCCTCCCTCTCAAGATTTGCATCTTGGTCATCAGCCTCTCTCACATCTGTTGCACAAAAGCTCTTAAAGGAAACAGATTTATCATCTTGCTGAATATTATCACCCTCAAGTTGGTTTTTTCTTTCTTTTCCTTCTGAAGAGACAATAGTATGTGAATTGTTGACTTGAGAAGGTTCAGCAGATAGGGAATTTTCCTTGCATTCTTCAGGAGTGAGTTGTGATTCAAGGTTGGCGACAAATTTCACAGATGTTCCTACCACCTGTGGTGATGTACAATTAGAATGGTCTAACTCTCCTTCAGTTATCTCACTTGACCTAGAAAATTTGTCCACGAACTGATTTGTTTGTACACCAACCAAAGGATCATCAGCATAGTCCATCTTGTCATCATCAAGCAAGCTAGCTTCCTCAAGTTGGTGTTTGCTTTCATTCACTTCGGAAGAGACACTGACTTGTGAATTGTTGAGTAGAGAAGGTTCAGATAAATGGGAGCTTTCCTTGCACTCTTCAGGAGTGAGTAAGTCACGCTCCATTTCTAGCAAAGCTGAAGATTCAGTGTTGGCATCAATTTTCACTGATGATCTTTCCACTGATGATGTATATTTAAAATGGTCAATCTGTTCTTCAGGAGTGAGTTGAGATTCAACGTTGGAGACAAATTTCACAGATGTTCCTGCCACCTGTGGTGATGTACAATTAGAATGGTCAAACTCTCCTTCAGTTATCTCACTTGACCTAGAAAATTTGTCCACAAGCTGATTTGTTTGTACACCAACCATAGGATCATCAGCATTGTCCATCTTATCATCATCAAGCAAGCTAGTTTCCTCAAGTTGGTGTTTGCTTTCATTCACTTCTGAAGAGACGCTAATTTGTGAATTGTTAACTAGAGAAGGTTCAGAGAAATGATAACTTTCCTTGCACTCTTCAGGAGTGAGCAAGTCACGCTCCATTTCTAGCAAAGCTGAAGATTCAGTGTTGGCATCAATTTTCAATGATGATCTTTCCACTGATGATGTATATTTAAAATGGTCCATCTGTTCTTCAATTATCTCACTTGACCTTGAAAACTTATCCAGACACTGATCTGTTTGTACACAAATCACAGGATCTTCTAAAGAATGTATCTTATCATCCTCAAGTGAGCTAGGTTCCTCATGTTGGTGTTTACTTTCCTTCAATCCAGAGCAGACAAAAATATGTGAGTTTTTTTCTTGAGAATTTTCATGGGATAGAGAATTATCCTTGCAATCTTCAAGAGTGAGCATGTTGCACTCCTTTTCTAACAAATCTGAAGATTCAGTGTTGGCCTCAATTTTCAAAGATGTTCCTAACACCGGTGTTTCACATTTACAATGGCCTATCTCTCCTTCAGTTATCTCACTCGGACTAGGAAACTTATCCAGAAACTGATCTGACTGCACACCAATAACAGGACCTTTGACATAGTGCATCTTATCATCTTGAAGCAAGCTAGGTTCCTCAAGTTGGTGTTTGCATTCATTCACTTCAGAAGAGACAATAATATGTGAATTGATGCCTTGAGAGGGTTCAGATGATGGCAAGATTTCCTTGCATTTTTCAGGAGTGACCAAGCTGCACTCCTTATCCAGCAAAGGTGAAGATTCAGAGTTGGCATCAATTTTAAAAGATGTTCCTGCCACCGATAATGTACATTTAAAATGGTGTTTCTCTCCATCAGTAATCTCACTTGACCTGGAAAACTTGTCCAGATACTGATCTGTTTGTACATCGACCATAGTATCTTCTACATAGTCCATTTTATCATCCTCAAGAAAGCTAGGTTCCATGTTATGGGTTACATCACTCAATTCTTTGCCACAATTTGACTGGTGAATAGTAGTGTCTTCAGGAAGATTATGTTCTTGACCAACTGATTTCAACAGCATTTCAACAGATTCTGATGATGTTGCCTCATACCAGACATTATTGTGTCCAGTGATTGAGCAAGGCTCAGTAACACTTGAACTGAACTCTACGATTCCACTACTTTCTCGAGGAAAATCCTCAATCCACTGGTTGTCTTCCTGACAAGGAATTCCAAGAAAAACTTCGTTTTCAACTAAACTGTCGAACCTTAAATGGCCTTGGAGGCTATCATCAAAATCAAATCTGGGAAGAGTGAAAGGACGCAAAACAGGGGAGACTTTCGAGCTATCTTCACCTGCTACATGAAGATCCTTGCTTTGGTAATCATTGCCATTATAGTCCATCTGTGATCTCCTGCAAAAAGAAGTATCTACTATATATATGTACGAATGGATAAGAGTAAAGGAGTGACAAGAGTATTAGATGTCTCACTTTGACTCTATCCTTGAATCCAAAGTATGGATTCTCTTTTTGGAAAGAAAGCAACCTGATTGGAAGTCAAATGTCTATGTATACAACATCAACGACCAAGCCTTGATCCCAAAAGAGTTTGGGTCGGCAAACATGAATCTATAAAATAGGAGCTAAGGTAAAATGTCCAAGTATAAATGAAGAAAATATTACTCCTGAAAAGATGATATCCCATGGCAGCCTTAGTCCTTACAATTGCAATTCAGATCCAGCCTTAGTCTTCATCAAGTTTTGTCTCTAATTGGAATTTTGTTAAATGCGAGTATTCACGTAATTCAAAGAAATAATGGCAAAAAAAAATAAAAAATGAAAGAAACACAATGAGGTTGTTGCACTACAGGCATAAGGTCTTACCTATTAGTACAAGCTGAATGAGTTTACGGAGGCAAGAAGGTTTGTGTATCACTTTGAAAAAATCAGGTCTGTGGCACTAGCATATCGCAAAATTTGTCTAAACAGAGTCATATTTTGGCGACGCGCTGAAATTTGTGGGGAATAAAATCGAGACGAGATACAGCTGAAACTCAGCGGCATTAAATACTACGATGGTTAATGCACTGAATTTAATAATCAGCTCGACCGAACATGATGAATTAAAGAGTAGCAGATGAAGAAAGTCTATAGACGCTACCTCCCTCCATTCGAAGAAGAAATACCGAACGTTGCTCAACTCCACCCGTGCGGAGTGGCTGATAATAACACCAAGTAGGGTTTTCGGGAGGTGTCAAACCTAAATCAACAACCCACAGATGTAGTATTACCGTCTAAAAGACCCTCGAGCAATAAAATGGACGGGGGAGTGGCCCGAAGAAACACTGCGTGTGTATACTAGAGAGAATCTGTGGCTGAGGGTGATGGGAGGAGAGACTGAGAGTGCGAGTTTGCTGTCTCAGTTGCCCTCGGGGCAATGCTTGGGGAAATTATACTAAGGGAGTGTTTGCAACTGCCTCTGATTAAAAAAAAGCACTTTTGGAGATGTAATGAAAAAGTGATTAGTAGTAAAAGTTGATAGTGTTTGAGAAAAAAGTGATTTTGAAAAGTAAAAGTTGGTAGTGTTTGGTAAAATAAGTGTTTTTTGTGTAATAGAAAAGGGAAAAGCACTTTTCACACGCAAGCCGAGAAAAAGTAAAAATTGGAAGTGTTTGGTAAATAAGTGCTTTTTTAAGCCAAAAGCTGAGAAGTGCTTTTTTTAAGCTATTGCAAACACTCCCTACATACCAGACCAAACCAAATTAAATCAGACCAAATTAAATCAGATCAAACCAAACCAAACCAGATTTTCGTATATATAAAATACACAGTGACTAGTCATTTACCAGACCAGACTAATTTAGATCAGACCAGACCAGCAAATTTCAATTCAAAAGAAAACATCTTTAATCATTGGGTAAATATATTTATTGACTAAATATAAATATGTGAAACTTCGTAAATTTAACTCTAATACTCTAGTTAATAGATAATGTGCGTTAAAAAAGGGAGTCATCTATGATTAATTTAGCATACTTCCTCTATTCTGTACATCCTTAACATATCTAATTCCTTACTAATAAAGTAGAACCTTCAAATTGAAATTGATTTGTCAACTATTTGCTATTAAGTACAATTTAATATTTAATATTGCTATTGAATACAATTGATTTGGAGAATGTAATTACAAAAGTTTATTATTACTATTGAGTGCATCTTATAGATTCTCAATTCATGTATTTTCATTCCTTGTATTTTGCATTTTTTACCCATTAAATTAATTAATGAGATAATTGAAGCACCTACATAAGAAAGGAAAGCAATTAAATAATGATTAATTTACTTCAAATGCAATTAAATAATACACGGACCATGCATAAGTCAAATAATAATGACTTATTATTTGATAATAAAGTATAACCTATTAATTGAAATGATTTCTAAATTACTTGTTATTGGGGATGTTTTCACTTGGATTTTTTTCAATCCCAAATCGGACCAGACTTAAACATACAAGACCAAACCAAACCAGACGTAAACAAATCAGACCAGACCAGGCTTAACTTTCGTAGTTATAAAATACAAAGAGACCGGATGTTTACCCGACCAAACCAAACCAATTCAGACTATATCGGACTGGACCAGACTTAAACATATCAGACCAGACTAGCAAATTATAGTTCAAATAAAAAACATCATGAGTGCAATTATATTACTGAATAGTTATTAATTGCAATTAAGTTCTAAATTCATACTCCCTCCGTCCCCCTAAGTTTGGGACGGGAGGGGTGTGGTGTGGTTTTTAAGAAAAAGTGGAATTGTGTGGTTGATATTGAATTGATAAAGTGTAAATAAAGTAAGAATGAATTCTAACCACTCAAATGTTACCAAATATGGTATGGGACAAACTTAGTGGGACGGACGAAAAAGGTAAAACGGGACAAACTTAAGGGGACGGAGGGAGTAGTATTTATACACACACACACACACACACACACACACACACACACACACATATATATATTGTAGAGCATCAATTTCTAAATTCTATAAGTGTCGTTTCATTTCATGTTTTTGAAAGCTTTATCGAGATGGTTCCAGAAAACCACATATAATTAGAAAATTTTCATTTGGTATATTCCCTCCGACGAGGATTCGGCCGAGGATGAAAGGCGCAACTAGCAGTGCCGACGTGAGGTCCGAATCATCGTCAGAGAGAACACCGGCGGAGACACCGCCAACTAGCGAAAGAAATGGAACAACAAGCTCTACGTGGGGGGGGGGGGGATCACAGACCTTGGTCTTGGGAGGCTCAGTAGAGTAGTTGGCCTCTAATAGGCTGATTACATGAATTCATGAAACTAAGTAAAAAGTATAAGCGATTGGTAAGAGCCTGGTCGAGGCTGCCTTGGCCGAGGAGGGCATTGGACGAAGGACACCAAATTGAGGAGAAAATCGTACTTCAGTCTTCTAAGATTGATCTTCGGGGTTGCTCCGTGTGGACCGCCTCGTTTGGTGGATGGGACCAGCCAAGTACCAGGTGCCTTGTTTTTATCTTTTGAGTGTGTGGGTCATGGGGTCCGGGCCCATATACTCTATCACCATCTTTTACACAAAATTCAGAATATGACATGCACAACGTTGATGAAAATATTTATCCATCAAAGTAGAAGGACAACACAATTCACGCAATTTAGAAACCAATGTCAATATTATTACTTGCATTATCAAAGCCAATAACAAACATCTTATCAATCAAATTATATCCAGTTAAAATACACTGTATGATAATATAAATATTATCACCGGTGTGTCGGTCATTGAATTCTCAAAAAGCGACAACACGTTAATGCATTTCCTAATTATCATCAATATAATGTGCAGTCACACCCAAATAATACAAATGATGATAAGTATTTTCTCATATATCACTACAAATACTAACACGTCCATCAAAGTTTGCGAAAAAACATTGTTAATTTATCTTTTTTCAATTATATTGCCTTATAACTAATATTTTAATGGTTTTGCGACTATAGTTTCTAAACTGGGGATTTTAAGAACCTTGAGCATAAGTTTTTAAAGCAAGACTTTTCAGAAAAATGAAAGACACATTTTCTTCACAAAATTTTCAGCCATAGCACTTAAATGTTTCGCATCATCATAAATGAAATTACCAAAGGATTGATTTTTGCAAACTTCGATGTTTGGTTTACGCCCCCTTGCATTTGATTTTCACCCACTCTATGGGGTTCCATTGTGCCAGGCCTTCAAATGCCTACCCCCACCAACATTCTAATATTTAATTTTTTTAAAAAAAAAATATGACTGTTAGGCTCGGACCAGGCCCAGGACAGGCCAGTTTCCAAAGTATGAGCCTGTGGTTCGCCTCTATATAACCTCAGACCGGGTACAAACAGTATCGGTCCTGAGTCAGGCCGCCCGGATACAGTCCACCCCTAACCAAGGTACGCCAACTAAACTAAAGAGTAAGTTTTATTGAACAACAATAAGAATGAACTATTATATAACAAAGAGCATTAAACGGTGAAACAAGGTCACATTCGAAAAGAGGGTGTAGTCAAGATGCACACATGTTGTGTTAGAGGTGTGCAAACATGAAAAAGTCACTTTAGAAATGAAAGAATTCGACAAGAAGCATAAGTTACGCTGATGGAGGATAAATACAAGAGTTTTGGTTGTAATGGTTTGATCACGTATTTAAAAGATCAAGTGATGCACCAGTTGGATAGATTGAGATGCGGTGAGAGGATGAGGGGACAACATAAATGAACATATATTAGAGTGGTCAAGAATGATATGCTATTGTATAAATTAAATGAGAGTATGTATGACTTTAAGAATATTATAGTGGAGGGTAAATCTTATATTTTTTGTCTCTCTATTTAGTTATTGTTTTAGCTGACGTCATATGTTGACCTCAAACGTTTTTTGGAATAACGGTGGATGTTTATGTGGATATATGTGTTGGATTTTTTTTACCCGTGAGAAAAGCCCAACTCTTGAGCCCATTAAAGTCTTATTTAGACTTTCTATTTTCGAAGCTTCTAATTAGAAGAGGGTCAGCCACTATTTCAAAACATAAGGACAAAAAGAGAGCAACGGATTGAGAGAACAAAAAGTCACAAAACATTAGCTAAATGTTCATCCCGTTTTTCAACAGAAAGCGGCAAAAAACTTTCGTTGCCCGGAGATTGAACCGTTGGATCGTCGTGATTGTTGTACAACATCTACACAGCATCTGGGACAAAATTATGGACGGTGAAGATCGGGTTTTGAGTTCCGAAGGTCGGGTTACGTTGGTCTGGACAGTAGCTATTTTTCTAGTGATATTTTTCTTATGTTGGCTCTATTTTGATTTCATACACCTTAATGTTCTTAGTTCCAAGGATATGATGATTTTGTATGCCTCTGGTATTATCTAGAGAAGACTTTGCATTGCTCCTTTGATCATGATAGTGAATTTAAGTGGGCAAAATGGTCCCGTGATTTTTCCCTAGTTTATGGGGTTTCCACGCTAAAATTTTGATGTCTTTGTGTTGTTATGTACTTACTATTTTAGCTCAATATCTTGGTGCATAACAGTGGTATTGTGTGTGTTCTAGATGCATTAAGAATACCCTATTTGTTTGCATCCTCAAAGGTTCATTCAAGTTGGGAAAGTTTAGCCAAGTGAAGATTACTTTCGCATTTATTAGTTATCGTTTATGGCTGTTTTTCCCATCAAATTGGTATCAGATCCGAGTTCATCTATATTGGGTTAGACTTGTTTGAATGATGGAAGCCAACACAAATAGGATGATCAATTTGAATGGTTCTAATTATCAGGTTTGGAAAGGCAAGATGAAAGATCTCCTTTATGTGAATGATTATTATTTGCCTGTGTTTACTATTGATAAAGATGAGAGTAAAATAGATGCATAGTGGAACATTTTGCGTAGACAGGTTTGTGGGTATATTCGCTAATGGGTTGGTGATAATGTTTTGAACCATATTAGCGGAGAGACTCATGTTCGCACTTTGTGGAACAAGCTTGAACAGTTGTATGCTCAAAAGATCGGGAACAATAAATTGTTCTTAGTAAAACAGATGATGAGCTTAAAATATCATGATGGAACTTGTGTCACTGATCATTTAAATTCTTTTCAGGGAATTATCATTCAACTTGCATGAATGTGTATCAAGTTTCAAGATGAGATACAAGGCTTATGGCTCCTTAGCACTTTAACAGACTCATGGGAGACTCTTAGGACATCATTGTCCAACTCTGCACCAGACGGTATCATCACCATGGAATTGGCTAAAGGCGGTATTTAAATGAAGAGATGAGAAGAAAGTCATAAGGTTTCTCTTCACATCCTGATGTCTTAGTTACAGAAAGCAGGGGAAGAAGTTAGAGTAGAG